GGGGGGGGGTGAGGGCATGAGCGGAGGGGGGATGTGGTGACAGGGACACATATGTAATATCTTAATCAATAAAAAACATATTAAAAAGCAAAAAAAAAAATCTGGGGTAGCAATACTTATATCAGACAAAAGAGAGACTTCAAAACAAAGGCCATAAGAGGCAAAGGAGGACATTACATAATACTAAAGGGATCAATCCAACAAGAGCATATAACCCTTGGAAATGTACATGTACCAAATTAGGAGCACCTGAGTCAGTGATTCTCAACCTTCTGGCCCTTTAAATACAGTTCCTCATGTTGTGACCCAACCATAAAATTATTTTCATTGCTACTTCATAACTGTAATGTTGCTACTGTTATGAATCGTAATGTAAATATCTGATATGTAGGATGGTCTTAGGCGACCCCTGTGAAAGGGTCGTTCGACCGCTAATGGGGCCATGACCCACAGGTTGAGAACCGATGACCTAAGTATATATAGAAAATCCTGGTGAATATAAAAGGAGAGATCGACAGTAATACAGTCATAGTAGGAAATCTTGACACCCCACTGAAATCAATGGATAGATCTTCCAGACAAAAAAATCAACAAGGCAACAGCAATCTTACACAACACACTGGACCTGATGGATTTAGTTGATATTTAGAGAATATTTCATCCCAAAGCAGCAGTATATATAATCTTTTCAAGTGCATATGGAACATTCTTTAGGGTAGACCACATGTTAGGAAACAAAACAAGTCTTAATAAATTCAAGAAGATTGAAATCATATCAAGCATCTTCTCTGACCACAATAGTATAAAACTAGAAATCAATTACAATTTTAAAAAAATGAAAACACTCCAAACACATGGAGGCTAAACAACATGTTATTAACCAATAAAAATGAACCCCAAATGTATGGGACACAATGAAAGCAGTTCTGAGAGGGAAATTCATAGCATTACAGGCCTACCTCAAAAAGCAAGAAAAGTCTCAAATAAACAATCTGACCCTCCACCTAACAGAACTAGAAAAAGAATAACACCCTGGCTGAAATAGCTCAGTGGTTGAGCATTGACCTATGAACCAGGAGGTTATGGTTCAATTCCTGGTCAGGGCACATGCCGGGGTTGTGGGCTCCATCCCCAGTGTGGGTGTGTAGGAGGCAGCCGATCAATGATTCTCTCTCATCATTGATGTTTCTATCTTTCTCTCCCTCTCCTTTGCTCCCTGAAATCAATTTAAACAAAATTTTAAAAAGAAAAGAAAAAGAATAACAAAGTCCAGAGTAAGGTGGGACGATCAATCAGGGGTGCCGCAATTGCCCCAAAGAGAGAGGTCCAGACCACTGACCAGTGGGCTGCACTGGGTGGGCAGGGCCTACCTCTTTGGGGTGATCGATGCCCCAAAGAGGGAGGCCCACGCTACCCTGTGGCAGCACTGTGGTGGGTGAGCGGGGCCTCCCTCTGCAGGGTTCCCAGATTGTGAGAGGGTGCAGGCTGGGCTGAGGGACCCTCGCCCCACTCCCCCAGTGCAAGAATTTTGTGCACCAGACCTCTAGTGTTGAATAAGAGTAGTGAAAGCAGACATTCCTGTCTTGTTCTTGATCTTAAGGGGAACTAACAAACAAAATAAAAACAAACTCATAGATACAAAGAATAGACAGACAGCTCTTAGAGGGGAGGGAGCTTGGGGGGCTGGGTGAAAAAGGTGAAGGGATTAAGAAAAGAAACAGACACAGACAACAGTATGATGATTGCCAGAGGGGAAGTGGGGTGGGGAGGGGGAAGAAGGCAAAATGCGATAAATAGTGGCAAAGAGACTTGACTTTGAGTAGTGAGTGCACTATGCAGTGTGCAAATGATGTGCTACTGAGTTGTACACTTGAAACTTGTATTAACCTATGTCATACCAATAGATTCAATTTTTAAAAAAGTGTAGTCCATGGAATTGCACTGGTGTGTGATAATACCAATGCAAATATTCAGAATAAACACTCAGAAATTTATATAAAAATTTCACAAAGTAATTTTATGTCTATCACATCTAATAGTAAAAATTTTTGGCTGTTACTTCATATACCTTTATTTCATTTTTCTATTAAATATTTAACATTTTCTTGAAAAGTTTTTTTATTAATATTCCAGTCCTCTCATTTTTGTCTTTTTATTTTTAAATAATCAGTCTACAATACAGTGTGGAGCAAAAGTAGGTTTACAGTTGCTCATGTGAAAAATAATACAATGATTAATAATCAATAATATAAGAATAGGCTACATCATGAAAAATGGTTAATGGTGTGAAAAAATTATGACCTAAGTAGAAAAAGAAAAGAAGAATACAGAAGAGAATGTAAAGCATAGCCCCTGAGATTGCAAAATGGATTTTTGAATGGCAGTACATAGTTTATCTCTGAATGGTGCCTAGAGTAGGAGAGTACTAGGTTAGTCTCTGAAAAATACATGTTAGAACAATATGAATTTATTTTATTCTTTCAGCTTAACTACATTTTCTACAATGAACATGCAATATTTTGAAATGTGAAAATTTAATGAATAGTATCACTTTTTCTTTGGGGGTGGGGGAGGTTATAGGCTTATTGTAAGGAAGAATTAAGCCCATGTTTTGTTCTTTGTCTGCATTATTCCATTCAGTTTAGGTTATTAGATCATCATTAACTTTTCCATAAGGAAAGGAATAATATATTTTAAAAATCACGTTTAAGTTGTTTTTAATGTAACAATATTTTCATATATTTTACAGATAAAATATCTGAAAAATTAGCAGCAGAACCTCTGCTTCTGGGTCATAAATGGTGTTCATTGTACACAGGCAAATTCTAAATAATTAAGTAGTATTAAATAATGAAAACAATAGAGAGAGAGGCTATACTTATGAGTGACAACGCTATCAGTCAAATTTCCATAATAACTAACATTTTACTGTGGGCTGTGTGCAAATGATGTGAACATAACATTTATGTCTGAAATAAAACTCTTCAATTGTTTTACTGGGGGGAAAAAAAAGGCTGGAGGAAGAAAACATCTAATTTTAATGTAACACTAAATCCAAAGGCAGTACAGCTGTTTGGTTGTGGTTGTTTAGCTCAGCTGTTTTATTCTGAGAAAAGCGCAGCTGCCTTTTGATGTCTGTTATTCAAGACTGTTCTTCAGAGGAATTAAATGGATGAGCGCTCATAGACCACTGGGGGTTCAGCTTCCTCTCTTACTGCAGTGCCATTTCTTGGTGCGGTTCTTCATGTTTCAACATCGGCTAATGCAAGTTCCTTCCCTTGTACCTTGCCTTTCCCTCCAGAATTCTGCTCCTAAGAGCAGCACTGTTGGTGGAAGAGTAAATTCAAGGGCAATTTTTGAAAAGCTACTCAGATTTAAAATGCTATCTGGATGATATTAAGAAATGATTAATTTTGATGTATGAAATGACAGTGCATGGTTGTTTTTTTTAATAACCGTTAAGTGCTACATACTGAAGTAGTTACAAATGAAATGATACGTCTCACATTTGCTTTGAAATAATCAAGGGGATTATTCTTTCAAAGGGAGGAAGACAGGGAAAGGGTGGGAGTATAGGTAAATTAAGGTTGGCTGTGAGTTGATAATTGTGAAAACTAGATAGGGGGGTGAGGGAGTGTGCATTACATTGTCCTCTCCACTTTTCTATTTGTTGGAAAATTTCCATAATAAAAAGGTTTTTAATTTGATAAATTAAAACGACACAAACATAAGCATTACATGAAATGACTCTTCAGTTCCACATCCACAGATCTATCCTACAAGAAACACTCGTCCACATGCACGCACTTATGTGGAAAGTTGTTTCCTTTGACACTGTTTGGAGTAACAAATCATTGGAAACTGCATTCTTGTTCAACAATGAGGAATGGTTAAAATGAACTGTAACTTATTCCACTGTTTTTATGCCCTCTTCCCCCAATGTAGAGTTCGTTAATATCGGGTAATGTTATGTTAATAAAAGAAGATCCTACTTCTAAGGACCCTGAATGACATTCCAAGGAGGAAATCCCGACTGAATGGAAGTCTGGCAGTTCGCTGAGTGAGAGCCGTTGAGCACGGTGCTAAGGCCCTAAAGGGGGAGCAGTATCTACCTGGAAATCAGATGGGTAGCTACGCTCACAGCCTTGGTGACTCAGAACAAGAGAGTGCTGACGAACACATGGTGATGTCACCATTTCCTGCCGCAGGACGTCTCCAAGAGGAGGAGTGGACAGCAGGTAGAAAAGATCAAAGGCCGGGAACATCCCCCTCCTCCCCGTTATTCTTGTCTCCTTTTAGATATAATCTCAAGGAATGCACTTGTCATTCTGTTCCTACAGCGCCCGTATTCTCCGGCTTGGATGAGATTTTTTTTCAAGTCAGCAGACAAAGCACTCCTTTGGGGCCCACCCAAGCTCTGGGGTCTGTTCCTACACAGGACAGCTCTGATCCTCCACAGTTTTTTCCAAGGCACAGTCAGGATCCGAGCTTCTCTCTAAACAGATTAATCCATTTACCAGCTTCTTATCAGGGCTCACCTGCTACTCTCAGCAGGCCCAGGCATGCTGCACCCGAAACCACTGACTCCTGCCCCAAGGGGAGGGTGGGAAGCCCTCTAGAAGAGCTGACAGTTACCTCATGTCCAGTTTCCCTAATTCCTCAACTCTGATAGGCCACCCTATGCTTAGAGTGAGTCTCCTGACTTGAGACAGGTATGCTATTGTGGAGTCCAGAGGTGAAATCAGAACACCCATCCCTGTGTCTTGCTATGTTTCTATGAGGAAAAACAAGTCAGTTAACCTTCATTTTCCTCATGTACAAAAGTGGTACAATAATAAGCACATTATAGGATTAATGTGTGTTAACGGACCGAGGGCAGTACCCTGGCGCATAATATATGTTGGTTATGTATGACAAACTGCCTGGTTTTCAACACATTCCCTGGCTATGGCTGTAACCATCAGGCTTACAATATTGTGTCTAATCAACTGATTAATTTGGGTTCGATTCCCAGTCAAGGGCACGTACCTGGGTTGCAGGTTCAACCCCGATTCAGTCAGGGCATGTGAGGGAGGCAATCAATTGATGTTTTTCTCTCACATGGATGCTTTTCTCTCTCTCTCTCTCTCTCTCTCTCTCTCTCTCTCTCTCTCTCTCTCTCTCTCTCTCTCTCTCTCTCTCTCTCTCTCTCTCTCTCTCTCTCTCTCTCTCTCTCTCTCTCTCTCTCTCTCTCTCTCCCTTCTACTTTCTCTTAAAAAAAAATCAATGGAAAAATATCCTTGGGTGAGGATTAACAACAACAAAAAAAGGGGGAAATATCTCCTTGTAGCTTCTCAGTCTGTTAACATTTGGTGTGACAGTTGACAAAGTAGATTTAGGTCCACCATTTTGCTATTTGTCTGTCCCCACTCTTTGTTGTTGTTGTTCCTCTGTTCCTACTTTCCTGCCTTCTTTCTAATTATTTGGGAAAAAATGTTTAGAACTCTAATTTAATTTACCTACCATTTTTGGTTTGTTTGTTTGTTTTTTAGCTATATCTCAATTTTCTTACTGGTTACTTTAGGGATTACAGTATACAGCTTTAACTTTTCACAATCCAGAGTTAATATTGTGCTACTTCATGTAAAATGCAGAAACCCTGTAATCATGTAAGTCCTTTTTGCTATAATTGCCAAATGTATTACATCTCTGTTACAAGTTCCATAAGACCATGAAATCATTTTTGCTCTAAATACATGAAATGTAAAGAAATTAGCAGGGAAAAAATTACATTTGCAAAATACCTCTAATTTTCTTAAAAGAAAATCTCCGTAGTAAATTGCCTAGAAGATCTAAGCACTTTATACCTAACATTATAATATTCAGTTCCTTCTTATTTTCTCCAAGGAAGGGGCTTTACTTTTCATTTGGCTCATTTTTCATTTTCAAACCTAGCTTATCTGAAGCCATTCCAGAATTATAAGCAGTTTTTAAAAACATAGTATTAAACAAAATCTTTCCATTTGTTTAACTTTGGGCCAAAACATTAACATTGCCACTAATTTCATAAGAATCACATTGTCGAGGCAAGAAACTAACACATCTTTCAACAAATAAATACCTTACATTCTGATAGGTATGTGTCCCAATTATGCCCCAATCAATTAATTATCTGCCTAGATTTAGTGGGGCATACGCAGGTGACCAGGGGTCAGCAATAACGGCCTATCCCCTGGTACTTCAATGTCTCTAGACCATGGTTCTCAACCTTGGCTGCATTAGAATCACCTGGGAATCTTTTTAAACTCCTGATTTCTGGGCCTCATCCTCCGGAAATTCTGTTTGTTACTAATGTTGTGGCCCCACCCCATAACAAAGAAACAATTTCCGGAGGATGAGGCCCGAAAATCAGGATTTTAAAAAGATTCGCAGGTGATTCTAATGTGCAGCCAAGGTTGAGAACCACTGGTCTAGACCCTTGAGCCGAACCGGAACACATGAACACACAAGACAGAATTAGTATGCAATCACACAAGGTCTATTTACCTATTCCTAGTGGGTCCTAGGCTCCAGCAAAGGCCACCCGGTGATGCACACCGAAAGACGGACAACGAAGACGGGGACAGACAGGCGGCCGCAGTTGGTTCAGGCTTGCACAGCAGAGCAGTCAGTCCGGGGCTTGTCTCACGGAGCGACACGGAGTCCTCCTCTCATCAGGCAGGAGACCTCGACTGAAGACGGTCGGGTGCTTATATAGCTGGTAGTAAACAACTTGTGTCTTATCGTGTGGGCCAGACGGTGTGCCTTATGCTAGGAGCAGGGCGTTTACACTTTAGGGGCTTAGGGCGTTTACATCAAGATATTGGGACGTCCACCATGTTTATTACATTTTGGAAGTTACAGAGTATTGGGGTCTCCACACAGCAAACATTTCACACATTAGAGAAGTTTCCGTATGACCCTAATATTATAACAGTATGAGAGACGATCTCTGTGGTTCTATTGGCCCTTTCCATTTTGTAATAACCTGCTCATCATTTGGTAGATATTTTTACAGTGACCAAAACAGCATTTAATACATCCAGCATGAATCTCCAAGGATGCTACAGTTATAAATGTAGGTAATTAAAACTTCTATTTCTGTTTCTGTAGAATTTGTGAAGTATTGTGGGGGAAGCAGGTTAGGGAACTAGAGACTTTCCTGAGTCGCTATTACAGTGATGACCAAGGTAATCTGGTACTGCAATCCTATAAAACCTCGGCCTGTCCACCGCCTCCTATACGCCTTGTGAAAGGCGAAAGAAGACAGGTCGCTGAGGCGCTCCTGGCTAATTCACCTGGAGAAGGGTAAGTGCAAAGGAATTCAGAACCCAGAGGCAATTAAAACTCCAAGAGGAATCGCTAACATTTCAACAATACTTACATTTGCAACAATATTTACCTTTGCAAAGCCTTTTGTGTTTGACAGGAAATCATTGTGGTTGTGCTAGTTTTTCGTTTATTGTTTTGTGTCATTTTTAAGAGAGCTCTATAAACCATAGAAAATAAAACAAAGACAGATAAATTACATCAGTGGTTCTCAACCTTCTGGCCCTTTAAATACAGTTCCTCATGTTGTGACCCAACCATAAAATTATTTTCGTTGCTACTTCATAACTATAATGTTGCTACTGTTATGAATTGTAATGTAACTATCTGATATGCAGGATGGTCTTAGGCGACCCCTGTGAAAGGGTCGTTCGACCGCTAAAGGGGTCGTGACCCACAGGTTGAGAACCGCTGAATTACATCTACACACACCTCCAAGAATTTACAATATTAGTTATCATGCTTTATATTTGTGAAAGTCATTTTTTTTATTTTAAACCTTAAGGTTTGGACAGTGTTTTTAAGCAAAAGGTAATTTTTTTTGTTTGCAATTCAATTGAGCATGCTTTTCTTTAAAAGCAAATTTCCCTATCCCTTTAGACACACAGAAAATTAGCAATACATATCATGTTTTTATTTCAGTGTCTCTGCAGTAGACATAGGACAAGATACTAATCTAATTCACAGTGGTACAGTGATGATGAATTATTGATTATTTTCAAAGAGTTGTGCCTTCTTAGATAACATTTTCTATGTAAACACAAAGTGTATTATTTCCTTTGTTCATTTTAGGGTGAAAAAGAAATAAATATCACTTTATGTTTTTTTTTTTAATCTTTGTATCTTTCAAAAACATAAGAAATTGATGTACTTAGCAAAGTAAGTTCATTTAAATCCAAAAGATTTCGAAGGTGGCCTTGAATCCTATCATGTTGATCCCAGTATACCCATCTTTTTTTAGCAGAGTGATACTCTCGAATATTGCAATTTGTAATATTGCAATAGTCAATATTGTAAAATCCTGCAATTTATAATAGTCAAACTTTAAAATGCTCTTATTCTGCTTTCAAGAATTTTCCTACTATAACACAAAACAACAGACTTTTAATAATTTCTGGTGAGAACTCATGACCAGTGTTTTTACTTTTTAATCAGAGTTAGATCATACCTAATATTTCTTCTATCTTTATGAGGTAGTTTTACATAGTTCTTTATTTAGTTAACACATATTTATGGAGCATTTACTATGTGCCAAGCCCAAAATTTAGAAACAGAGAAAAGTGGTTCATTTGTGCCTTTTTAAAAGATAACATCTTGTATATTTCTGTACTTTATAAACCATAGACCTCAATACAGACGGCCAGTGAATAAAGTTGTTTTGTTCAATGTCGTTTCATTATAATGTTGATGGGGCAGGGGGCAGGGAATTGATTCCCAAGGCCAGGGCCACTGTCTGTCTGCACATTCCTCCCGGGTTTGCTGGGTTTTCTCTGGCTCCTTCCGTTTACTCCCACATCCAAAAGATGTGCACGATAAGTGAAATGGCGATCTTACTTGTCCCAGGCTGATGGTGGGTGTGGGTGAAATGCACCCTGTGATGGAAGGGCGTCCGGTCCATGGTGGGTGCCCACCTTGTGCCCTGAGTTGCTGGAATAGGCTTTGGCCACTCACAACGATGAACTGGGATAAGCAGGTTGGAAATTAAGGATCTTCTCTGTCTTTAATGTCGACACATTTATAGAGTATTTCATAGCTCACATTTATTTCAATGTTTCCTATTAGAAGTGTTTGGGATCCTTATTAGAAGTTTGGTAACAATTTTGTGAACAGACATACGCTGCAGGAACTTACCTCTATTTTGTATCAATTAGCCTCGGGAAAAATTGGTTTCGTTGTACCTCATTTCGCTGAAAGTCTATAGAGCACTATAACACTGAGGACCTACTGTATTAGTTCCCAAAGCACATTGCTTTTAAACCCTAAATACCATTGTACCTGACTCTTAAACCTACACTTCTCCAGTTTTCACCTGTGCTGTGCGCTGATCTTCATGTTAGAAACTGAGCCTGTTCTTATACAAACTGTCAAAGGTGATATGATGCCAGGGGAGGTACAGTGTTGACCGTGGCAAATTATCCAGCAATTTTCAAGAGAACTATGGGGTTTGCATTTAACTCTTTATGGGCCTATTGGCCTTCTTCCCCTCCTCTTCGTCCTTCTGTTTGTTTTTATTGAAATTATAAACACGTGTGGTTTAAAAAGGTAAATACCTCTACAAAGCTTTTTAATATAAAATCAACAATCCCACCCTCCTTCTACTATTACTCTATCCCTAGAGACATCCACATTCAACTATTGTAGCCTTTCTTCAGTGTTTACCTCCATATTTCTACATAACACCTAGCATTGTCATCTCTTCAGTTGTACAACTTTTTGTTTTACATGGAATAATTTCGAGTTTGTGTGTGTTTGTGTGTGAGTGATTTTTTTTGTTTTGGTTGGATTTCCATACATAAATCTATAACACCCCAAATATTCACCAGTTGTCTAAATCAGGGGTCAGAAACTTTTTTTTATAAAAGAGACCGATTGTGAATATTTTAGGCTTTGTGGGTCATATACAGTTTCTGCTGCATATTTTTTTCCAACTTTTTAAAAATGTAAAAACCTCTCATAACTCACAGGCAGGAAGTTTCAGGCCTTGGGTTATTTCTGGACTTTGGGCTACAGTTTGCCAACTGTAGTCTAAATCGTCTTGAAAGACATTCAGATGTATCAGGTATTCCATCAATTTCATAATCTTGAAGAAGATTCTTCTATAGATTAAAATTTTTTTTTATTATTTCAGAGAGGAAGGGAGAAGGAGAGAGAGATAGAAACATCAGTGATTAGAGAGAATCATTGGTCAGTTGCCTTCTGCATGACCTGTACTGGGGATTGAGCCGGCAACACGGGCATGTGCCCTGATGGGGAATTGAACCATGACCTCTTGATTCATGGGTCTCTGCTCAACCACCGAGCAACCGGCCAGGCAAGATTCTTCTAGAGGTTTTTAACTTGTTCTAGCCTGAACTGGTTGCCCTTGATTCCTAGAGTACACTGTCTTCTTTATTCTGCTCTGACCATTATCCTGAAGATTCAGCTTCACCTCTCATCTGTGCAGGGTTCCATCTCCATTAACCAATGTCTTTCTCTTTCTTGATTTATTCCCTCATTCTGGTGAAGTGCAGGCTTCAGTAGCTTTGTGAGAGGTAAAAAAGTAAAAATTTTGAGACCTTGCATGTTAAAAAGAGTCTTATTCTTTCCTCACACTTGATTGACATAATGTGGCTGGGTATAAAATTACAGATTAAGCATCATTTTTCTTGAAAATCCTATAGGTATTTCTCCACTGTCTTCTAGATCTCGGTGTCACTAGTGAAAAGTCTGAAGCAATTGAGCTTTTATTCTTCTTTTGGAGTGGAGACTAGTTGATGATTCCCTAGTCACAGTGTGTATGTGTTGGAGTGTGTTGGTGGGAGAGGTGGCAGGGAGGGGGAAGAGGGAGGAAAACTAAGGTATTAAAAACTTCTTAGACAAATTGTTCTAAAAAATTGTAGTTTGTCTCCACTTCTAGAAGTACTTGATGCTACAAATTCTTGAGATCTTTTGGGATATCTGTGGGAGTTAGAATTAGGTTATTTCCTGGTTTTCTCCACTACTGTTCTAGGATTCTGCTTTTTCAATTCCGCTCAGTTTGTTGCCTCTTCTATTTAGCTCTTTCCAGGTCCCACAAATCTGTTGGTGTTTCTATTTTTCTGTGCTCCTCACAGGTTTATGCCTTGTAAGTGGCAGTGGTGGGGAAACCCTTTCATTTCAGTTGGGTTTTAGGAAGCTGCAAAATTAGATGCATGTAATCTAACATTTTTACCTAGAAGTTTATATGTGCTTCTTAGTTTTCCATTCCTTTCATATATATCATCATTCAAATGTCTTTGACTTTCAAATAGCATTAACCTTTTTACCTTTATATTCAAGAATATTACCATTTCTATAGCTCCAAATGCTTTCATGGGTGATATGCACTAAGAAGAATAAAGATTGCTGGTTTACAAAAAAAATTCTGAGTTTTCATGTAACAAACTCTTTCAATCACAAATAGCTCTCATGATTATATATATATAATAGTCACCGTGAAGGTAATTGTCAGGTTTTGTCACCTGAACACTGGTATGGTAAAAAAAAAAAAAGTTTCATGTTGATTAGTTTAACACTGCAGTGAAGAATCTAACCAAAGACAGAATTTAGTTAACTTCAAAGTAGAGACCAGATTTAGTAATGGAGAGTAAAGCCCTTCTTTGTTATGTTATGGCCCACAAGTTAATCCAGAAAGCTCTGGTGGGCTTAGTTGCAGATAGGAAAAGGAATCAAACTAGATTTTGAGGAACATTTTTATGTAGGCAGGCCAAGTCATGCTTATCTGGGATTCTCTAATTGAATGCCATGAAATGATGCACTTACCACAAGCTGCAACAGCAGAATTTAAATGACAAAATGAAGCAAAACAAAAAACAAGATAACTGGGAAGTGGAGATGAAAACTTAATTGAACGAAACTCAGAGCATTACTTACCTGAAATCAAGCCACAAGATTGCCTTCTGGTCAATTGGAACCTGATATATTATCAATTTTCATCTAGTTGGAATAGCTTGTTTATCCCGAGATTGGTCAGAATATGTTTGAAACCAAATATTCATTTAATGGATGCACTAATAATCAGCAATTAAATTATTTGCAGAGTTGAAGGGTATTAGTCATAGTTGTCTAAAATAATTTTCCCTTGAAAACACCCTAATTATGTTTAAAAATTCACAAGGCATTACCTGTTTGCTCACCTTATAATCTGTTTCATAGTCACACACCTGATCAACAATCTAACACCAACATTATAGCAACAATGCTATAGTGTTGCTATAGCGAAGAGGAAAGTTGGCGATAATTAGATTGATTCCATTCCTACAGGGCTTAAGCCATTTCATACAGCACCATAATTATTTTTGACATCTACTTTATCAATAAGAGCAAGAAATACAAAGACAATCTAAGAAGTGATGTTTCTTCCAAGGAGTTGACAATCTCAGGAGGAAAAAAACACATATATGCATAATCCATGGACACAGACAATAATATGGTGAAGGTGGGGGGGTGGGGCAGGTGCAGAGTGGAGAGGGTCAATGGGGGGGGAGGCAGAGGGGACATCTGTAATACTTTAAACAATAAAGATAAATTAAAAAGAAAAAAAACCACAAGAAATACACTTATGTTAGAAAATAATTCAAATGCTAAATTATCATGTCTCCAAATACAAAAGAAGTTCCAATGAGTGTGGTTAATAAAGATGGAGAGTCTGAAAGGAGTTTTAGCAGACAAGGATTCGAGCAGGTAGCAGATAAGAAAGGAGTTAGGGGAGCCCACAGAAGTGAGGGAACTAGGACTCGAAACATTTGTGCTCTGTAACCTGGGGTAAAATAGTATTTAAGTTTTAGGAAGATTAATACAATTAAGTGCTGGGAACCAAAATAAGAGTGAAAGTTTCTACTCACAAGAAAATTTCATAATTCATAGAATTATCAATTACAACTGAATACTGATAGATACACCCCTGATTTGTTACTGGACATATATAAGGAGTTGCTCAAAAAAAACTATAGCCTCCCTAGTTCAATTTCTAGAAATAAATTTAAGCCAAAAAAAAAAAAAATTAGAAAAGTTTTTCTCCCAATGAGAAATTCTGGCTAGGGAGTGATTTGTATTATATTCTCAAACTGGATATTAACTTGAATGACAGGGAAGAATGAGGACTCAAGAGGCTAAATATACAATAGCTAAGATTTGGAAACGGTGTAAGTGCCCATCAGCAGATGGATTAAAAAACTGTGGTACATCTACACAATGGAATACGATGCTGCTGTAAAAAAGAAGGAACTCTTACCATTTGCAATGGCATGGATGGCCCTGAAGATCATTATGCTAAGCAGAATAAGCCAGTTGGAGAAGAGGACTCAAGAGGCTAAATATACAATAGCTAAGATTTGGAAACGGTGTAAGTGCCCATCAGCAGATGGATTAAAAAACTGTGGTACATCTACACAATGGAATACGATGCTGCTGTAAAAAAGAAGGAACTCTTACCATTTGCAATGGCATGGATGGCCCTGAAGATCATTATGCTAAGCAGAATAAGCCAGTTGGAGAAAGATAAATATATCAGAGCATAACCAATGCACACAGAGAGTAGGGGGGTGAGGGTAGGTGCTTGGTTGTGGAAGTAGCCAGGGAGAGGTCAATGGGGGAAAAGAAGACATATGTACTACTTTAAACAATAAAGAATTTAAATTAAAACAAACAAAAAGAGGCTGGATAAACTTATGATGCCATACTATATAACTGAAATTTCCCTTCAGCTCTAACATCAGAGATATTCCCATTTATTGAAAATATATAAAATATATAATAATCATACTGATTCTTTGCTTTTCTAAAAATAGTTTTTGCCCTAGCTGGTTTGGCTCAATGGATAGAGCGTTGGCCTGTGGACTGAAGGGTCCTGGGTTCAATTCCAGTCAAGGCCACATGCCTAGGTTTCAGGCTCGATCCCTAGTAGTGGGCATGCAGGAGGCAGCCGATCAATGATTCTCTCTTATCACTGATGTTTCTATCTCTCTCTCCCTCTCCCTTACTCTCTGAAGTTAATAAAATATATTTAAAAAAACAATAAAAAGTTTACTCTAAAAGTTTAGATTTATAGAATTACTATAAAGATAAAATGGAATTCGTTATATCCCTCCCTATTCTCTATTCTCTATAACTAGAGGCCCAGTGCATTGGACATGCCTCTTGCAATCCGGGACCACTGGCCCCTAACCGCTCAAATGCCTGCCTGCCTAATCGCCCCTAACCACTCTCCCCTGCCTGCCTGATCGCCCCTAATTGCCTCTGCCTTGGCCCCCACCACCATGGCTTTGTCCAGAAGAATGCTTGGAAGGATGACTGGTCTAATTAACATATTATCCGTTTATTAGTATAAATAATAAAAGGGTAATATGCTAATTAGACTGGAAAGCCAAACAACCTTCCTGACATCATCTCGGATATCCTTCCAGATGAAGCTGCAGCAGCAGGGGCCGAGGCAGAGGTGGTTAGGGGAGATCAGGCAGGCAAGTGAGCAGTTAGGGGCAATCAGACAAGCGGTTAGGGGCGATGAGGCAGGCAGGCAGTTGAGCGGTTAGGAGCCAGTGGTCCTGGATTGCGAGAGGGAAGTCTGACTGCCAGCAGTTGGACAGCCCCCGAAAGGGTCCCAGATTGCCAGAGGGTGCAGACCAGGTGAGGGATCCTCCCCTCCCCCGCACTCCCCCAAGGACGAATTTCATGCACCAGGCCTCTAGTAGTTTATATTAGTGTGACGCATTTGTCGAAAGCAATGAACCAATATTAAAACATTAAATTCCAGCCCTGGACAGTTGCTCAGTGGATAGAACATCAGCTCACATACAGAAGGGTCGTGGGTTCAATTCCAGTTAAGGTGCGTACCTCAGTTCCCAGCCCTGGTCAGGCACATGCAGGAGGTAACCAATGTGTCTTGTCTCTCCCCCTCCCTTCCACTCTTTAAAAATCAATGGGAAAATATTCTCAGGTGATTAACAAAAAAAAAAAATAAACAAACATTAAATTCCTTATTTTAGTCACATTTTCTATTTTTCCCTAAAGTGTGTTTTCTGTGCCAGAACCCCATATAATTTACATTACACTTAGTTGTCATGTTTCCTTAAGCTTCTGTTGACAGCTTCTCTGGTTTTCCGTTTTTCATGATATGCACAGTTGAGTACTGCGTAGGTTTTGTTTTTATTAGAGAGGAGACATCAGTGGAGGAGGGGAGCACCCTGGAGATCGAGCCTGCAATCCAGGCATTTGCTCCGATTGGGAATAGAACCACATTTCGGCTCATGCGAACTGAGCTGAAACCAACTAAACCACACTGGCCAGAGACTGGGTAGGTATTTTGTAGCATGTCCCTTAATTGGGATTTGTCTTGTGTGATTCTCATCATTCAACTGGGATTACAAGTTTTTAGGAGGAAGACCAAAGTTCTGTTTTCATCACATCAAGTCAAAGGTACTAACCAGAAAAAAAATCAGCATTCATGAATTATGTATGCCTCCCTTTATACCTCTAATCATAGTTTAAAAACAAATTCCTCTTTTGCCTTAAACAAAGGTAGGTATTTGTTCAATGCAGAAACTTTTTTTTATTAACTGCCCTGATAGACCCTTTTAAACCAGCGGCCGCCAACCTTTCGGACCTCACAGACTACCAGTGGTCCGCGCGGGACCATTGGTTGGCGACAGCTGCTTTAAAGTTTTGGAAATGTAATTTGGTATTTTTGTTTTTCGAAATTTGCCAGTTTTGCTACTGTAGGTGAAGAAGGCACAACATGAATCTTTTAGGCACTTTTTATTTTCCAAAAAAAATTGTCATTAATATATAAACATCTCATTCTTTCAAAAAAATTCTACAACTATACAGCTGTTTGCTCCATTATTTGCATAGGAAATGACCACAATACAAAAATAAGAGGGGAAAAAGAAGCAAAACAGCAACCGATTTTAGCTTTTCATGTAGATAAGTTCCACGTATAAACATTTGAAGCCGCTTACAAAATATTTACACCACTTGTCATCTATTTACACGTTTTAAGAGCAACTTTTCTAACAAACAAAACTATAATTTATCAAGTTATGAAAATTTTCTAAAAAAACTTACTATATTAGCACAAAATAAATAAACAATATTTTAAAAACAAAATTAAAATTTCATTTCAATTAAGACCCCTTTTGGCATTTTGCTTATTTATTCGGCCCTTTGGTTAATAGCATCAGCATCACATTACTATTTTATGTTGCATATATGCAGTACTTGCTTCCTTAAGTTTTCAACATGTCATTTGTAATTAAAGGTAGACACTGAGTCAATATGAACAATAGATACACTAAACTGCACTGTAATTTAGGAAAAATTACTGTGTCACTGTATATTACATGCAAAATCCACTTAAACTGGCATTTAACCAACAGTACTGCATGAACAAATAACTGCATGATAAATTCAACGTTTTCATACATGAAAACTGCATCATAAATTCAACATTGCCATGTGAAAACTACATAAGTCCTCCGCCTGTAAAATGATACTGTTTAGCTTATTTTAAGAGGTTTAACTTTCATATATTGTAACTATCTTTAAGCTCTTGAGTTCACAATTCATATAAAACTCTTTCATATTTAAAATAAATCCCATTTTAATCAGTGCATTAAATCTGCTTTTTAAGTTCATTTGAATGATGATTATCTTTCCCCCTAAAGAAATGAATTTAATAGGTTTTTTAAGAGGTATCTTACAACAAAATTTAACTGTAAATGTATTCATGGTTATTTTCAAATTACTTATGATTTCTCCCCCAAAGAATCTTAGGAAACTTGTAATAAACCTATAAAGCTGATTTGCATATTTACAAAATTTTGAATAGCAAATATAGGCAACTCATAAAAAAAAAAAAAACAAAACAAACACTTATTTGTTCAATGGCTATTTGTGAATTGCCAGGTACGCTGTGTACACCTCTAAGGAATTATTCTATTATTGAAAACAACTTGATGTCAAGTAAAATCTTGACATACAATCCAGCCTTCTTCCTTCAGCCTGCCAACTGACTTGTTTACTAAACACAGTCACATTAAATGATGGTGCTTAGGTAAAAACGCTGCAAACACACATTGCACCCCCACCCCCCTACCCACGCTGAGATGCGCTGCCTGTCATGAGATGAAATCTGCTTGAGTAAAGCCATATACATTACAGCAAGCATTCCAGATTCCTAAAAGGACCAAACACTTTGGCATTAATACAATGTACTCCCTGTTTTTTCAAATATACAAAATATACATTTCCAGTTTTTTGCTTTTTCTTTTTATATATATATAGTTAAGTTTGTAGTTAAAATTTTGCCAAGTGAACTGCAGACCATCAGCGTGACTGCATAGGCACGCAGGCCCTCGCCGCAGCTCAGTTTTGGTGCCTCTTCATGTGCAAGGCCAGGTGGTCGGAGCGGGAGAAGCTGCGGTTGCACACCCCGCACTGGAATGGCTTGGCCCCGGTATGCTTCCGGTAGTGGCGCGTCAGCTCATCAGAGCGTGCGAACCTCCAGTCACAGCCTTCCCAGGTGCATTTGTATGGCTTCTCACCTGTGACAATGAACAAAGAGAAGAGATGAGGTGCCCTGCTTGTTAAGTCAAACATCATAGATACTGCCTGCCTGAAAAGAAATTTTCTTAAAAAAATCATGGTCCAAAAAGAAGGTCACAAATTTTGTTATGGAATTACTTCCCTCAAAGTCATCTAGTCAACAGTGTCAGTGTCTCATAGAAAGCTACTTCACGTGATTATATAAAGAAAAAGTATTCTGTTTACAACTAAAGGATGAAAAACTTGCAATTTTAAATGTGCAAGTTGAATCAGTGCTCCTGTATAAGTAAATCCATAAAAATGGCTAGACAGCTTGGGTGGCTTTATCATTACTATGGGAACACAACGTCTCCAAACTCACATTGAGTATAGGACTAATGGCTATAAGTTGGCCAAGAGAGAAAAAATTAAAGATGTTACTTAGGAGGGAGGGTACTTCTCAGATCACCAATACAATGAATTTAAGGTCACACAACTGCAACCCTTTACACCCTTTACTTCACAAACTGGTCCTCGATGTTTCTTGATTAGCCAGACTAAAACTGTCAGCACATACGACAGTTCCCTTGAACACACAGCCTCCAAAATGGAGTATTAGGGGCACTTGCTCTTAGAAATTCACAGTGGCACATGCACATTCAAGTAGAACGAAGATAAAGTTTCAAGTTCAATGGTGTTAAAGTTTTATGCAGCATTTGATATTTAATAAATTCCTCAACCAGATCAGAAAGTCCTGTACTGATCATTTATTTCACTTAGGTAGTCATGAAACAACCATAATAATTCTAATACTTGCTGACTCATGCATTCTTTTTTCTTTGTAAAGCACTGCCCATTCTTATACATGATTTGCCAAGTTTCTACTATATGGTTGGCACTGCCCTGAATGCTTGGAATACCACAGCCAGCAAAACAAAAATGCCTGGCTTCATGGAGCTTACATGTGTAATATGTACTTTTAAAAAGTTCCTACTAATCATTCAATCTACCTATTCTTTCACAGCTCTCCTCACTTTAATTGATAACTGAGCTGCTGTCCCATGGCAATTTGTATTATTCTCATCATTATCTAAAGTTTGCTAATCTTTCAAAACTACTTAGTATTTATAATGCAGTCTTAACTCACAGTTTTAGAATTAGTTAATCCTATTTGAGATTATGTAGTCCCCTAAATAAATCCTAAAATCTAAGAATCTCCCACTGAACATTAACTAGTAGTTCCTATATAGTATTGCTTTATTATTATAATTTCCTATGAATGTTAGTTTAAGATGAGAGCTTGAGATAAATTTACATATTTAAGTACTGTTGGTTTATAGCTGAGTTGTATATGGATGCATTTAAAAACTCTGACTAGCCAAGCTCTGAAATTCCTTTTAAAATGTTTTCTTCTAAAAGAGAAGAGCCTCAGGGTTGCCTTGAACACTATCACCATGAAACTCAACCATCTTTCTGCCTGATTTAGCAGTATCATATTCAGGAAGTTGTAAGATTACTCAACTGTGTCCAAATTTTAAAAGACATTGCCTACATCAACTGAGATTTCTACTACAGCTTGTGCTTAATACGGTTTTGCTATTCTGATAACCAGTCTGATTCTCAAACAAAACTCCGTAAGGATAAGAAGAAAAGGTACAAATTTCACAGAGCCAGGATGGCCAATTATTTCCCATGAGATTTCTTTCAACTCCTTATGGTATGCATCCCCAAGCCACCTTTCCTGTTTCTAATCCTCTGGCTCTGAACCAAGACACACCTATTTTTATTTTTTAAATTCTTTTTGGTTCCTATCACTCTATTTGTAAAATAGACATCACAATTCCTGGATTATTTTTTCTTCTCATAGTAAATTCTAAGATTTTAAGCTAATACACTCAAACCTGTTAAGTAACATAAGAAATAAACTACTTTTCTTTCACTTATAATCACATTTAATCTGTTTAATTCATAGATATGTTTTAGTACTAGCAGTAAAGGGAGCTATCACTCTTGCAGATGCAAATCAAATACAAAAAAAAATTATTTTTGCACTCGTGTTTTTGTTTCTCATGAAAAATAAAGTCACAAAAACAAACATGTTGGTTAAATACCTTACTGACATTTAATGGCAAAAGTTATTGCTGCTGTCTGAGGCAAGGAAAAAAAATTCCGGAAGTGCCCCAATTTTAAAAATCATTCTGATTTTTCAGAGTTTAAGAAACAAGGGACACTAGACTCTTTTTGTTCACTATTTTTATTGGCTATAAAGCAATAAACTGTACCAGTATTTTTAAAGTTTACTTTACTGATTGGTTAGAAAACGGTAGCTATTAAACTTCCTAAAACACTTGGGATTTTGCTCCCAATTTATGCACATCTATAGGTTGTTCAGCCAAGAATACTACCAGCGTCTGGGACATTAGTTATGGGACCAAGTCTTGACTATAAAAGCAAAGACAACTGTTCCCCACTTGGGGCAGTTTCTATGGGATTTGTTCAAGTGTCAACACTGCTCAAGTAAAACACTGTAGAGGAAGCTGGTACCCAATTTCTGGCCAAATAGCCAATTTGTGCCTTTCTTCCTCAGCCAGAAACACTATGCACAGTACTTCTGGGAAACCAAACTGACTTCCTTTAAGTTATTTCAACAGGATAGAACTTTCAAAAGCTTAATTGGATTTTTACAGAATCCTTTTCCAATACCACCAATTTAAAATATTTAGTTAAGCTCTTTCAACATCAACTTTATTTTTAAGTTCTCATGTTGTTAATGTGAAACTTTCCAAAGGCAAAGAGAAAAAAGTGACAAGTTTGTACAGCCTGGAAAACAAGCTTCCACTTTATCTCTCAAATAAAGTATGCATTTCCTCATTCTATTTTAAAATTACCAGGACTATTTTTGCTAGGAATCCCTAATCTTTTTTTTTAAAAAAAGTCCACGTTAAACATGTACACTATCCATACTGATAAAGTCAATCAATATATTCTATGAAAAATGTTAAGCAAAAACAATTCCAGGCACAGACACAAACATCCGTTGAGCACATATTCCAGAGTTAGGCACTTCTCAGAGTGTCACTTAGTCCTCACAACAGTTTGAGTTAGAAGCAAAATGATGAGCTCCACATTAGGAATCCTCGCCTGCCACTTATCCCTAATGTCCTTCTTAAACCCTCCATTAGCAAACATTAATACGCTCTACATGAATGATTTAGAAAACACCTACACAGTGTTCAAGTTTATTTAAAGATTTCAAAGCCACTTCTGAAGGTCGGTTGAGGAACAGTTGAAGGGACTGGGAGTAGGCCTTAACCCAGACTATCTGAAGCACCGAGTCCTGAAATCTGACCTGTGCTGGCATTGACAATCCCAATATTCTCTAACAATGGTTCCCCTTTATCCCAGGCTAAGTGAACTTCAGTGGGTTAGCCATGCAATATGTTTGTGAAGTATTCGAAAAATCTTTAATGATGAGCTAAAAAATTCTTATTTTTCCCCCCCTCTGATGAAGAGGTAAAAATTGACTTCTGAAACTAGCATAATAGAATGGGAGGTTTCTCTGCTCTGCTGAACATATTCAATAGACACATACCAAGGCCCTTTGCCTAGAATGTTCTACATAAATTCTTCTAACAAAAGAAAAATATCATAGGTGAAAATATTTTTAGTTATTCTGTGACTTTTTAAAGGTTTATTATAGCAGCCCAGCTGGCATAGCTCAGTGGTTGACCATTGACCTATGAACCAGGTGGTCATGGTTCGATTCCCAGTCAGAGCATGTGCATGGGTTGTGGGTTCCACCCCCAGTGTGAGGCATACAGGAGGCAGTCGATCCATGATTATCTCTCATCATTGATGTTTCTATCTCTCTCTCCATTTCCCTTCCTCTCTGAAATCAATAGCATGTTGTTGTTTTTTAAGTTTATTACAGCAAAGCTACCTATCTGGTTTTCTTTCTGAAAGCTAAAAGATAATCCAAATCAATGACATCTGATAAAGGCTAAAACCATCAGAATTAAAGCCAATGTTTAGTAAATAAGAGTGTAACCTGTACTAAATGACTTGCAAAATACAACAAATGAGACTTGGTCTCTGGCTTCCAAGAACTTAAAATCCATATCCCATTTGGAGACTTAAAACAAAGCAAACTGTTTAATAATTAGTACTTAATTCTTAAAATTTGAGTCTTTAAACTCAAAACAAGCTCATATTTCAGAAGGAAAATATTTTCATGCGATTTAATAATTAGATTTTTTTCAATAATTAGAGACTTAAGGAATTTTAGATTCTAAAACAGTCTTTATATATTTAAATAAAAGGTAAAGAAATAAGAAACACTAATCCCCAAATTAAAGAAATTCATAAATATTAGATATTAAATATCTAAAAAAAGATAAAGTAGGATGATTTAGGCTCATTAATTCCTAATTTTATGTCCATGCCAGTAATTTAAAAAATCTCTTTATTAATGCTCAATGTAATACATCTATACTTGGAACAGAAGGGTAGGCAGTTCATTCTAAAGATTAGTATTATTAGTATTTATAAAATGCATATAATATTTAATAGAGTATCCCTATCAATAATGTCCTCAACTTTAAACAAACTGACTACTTTAAAAGGTATAAGTAAGAAAATCCCTTCTTTCTCCCTGTTGGTCAATTTGTATTTAACTTCTTTCTTTAAAATCTGATTCTCCTTTACCTCTTCAGAAAACCTCTGAACAGTCTAGGACAGATTTCTGGCCCCAGCATCAGTTAAATTCCCTCTGAATGACTGATTTCATTTGCATCTATACTGCTGTATGAAGGCTTCCTCAACTGGCTTTGAAAGTTCCTCAAGGACAAACACTGGCTTCTATCCTGGCTGTAAATGCCACACTTCTAATACTTCTTTAGAACAACCACATATTTGGCCGAAGTCTGACCAACTCTGTTATTTTCATTAATGAAAAGAAGGGAAAGTGTAAGAGACAGGATAGCATCTAGTGTGAGTCTATTGGATTATCCTTTCTTTATGG